TACTAAGGGATAGCTTATTCTCTATATCTTACAGCAATGCTGTTTATTACTTTCTCAGCAATATGGAAATAGCTTATAATATCAATCTCTCAATAGATACTAAGATACTACTGTCTGATAATCATAATCTTAATATATAGAAATCTTCAACTATTATTAAGAGATCTCTAAGCATTAAAGCTTCAAACAAAGCTTCAGCAATAATTCTTAATAATAGCATTTACATCTGTTTATAAGATCCGATTAAAGCTTAACAATTCAAGAAGATTATTGAAAAGTATCCTGCTATATAGAAAAACAAAAGCTCTTTTAATATATCTAAGAATCAGATAATGAAGATTCCCTTAATAAAAGAATAGCAATATACAAAACTGAATTATTCTTACTACTCTATTTCCTGCAAGAATAAGAAGTTTATTAATTAGATGTACGAAGAAATGCATAAAGCTAGCTGCCTCGAGTTTGCTAATAATATCTATTCATTTGTATTGCTAATCTTTATAATCTAGCAAATAGTATACGAGAAGGAAAAGAGCTGCATTGTTGCAGATCTCAGAGCTTTTAACAAGTAAGCAGTGCTTAATAATTACTCCCTTCCTCTTTAATCAGATATAATCAAAGCTATATACAGTAAGCAGCACATCACAGTTATTAATGCCACAGCTTTCTTTTATCAATTCCCTATTTACTCTAAGTATTATAACTATTAAATTATGATTATGCATTATAGCTTTAAGCAATTAATAGTAGCTTTAATAAGCTACTGCAACTTGCTAGCTTATACTTAGAAGTATATGAACAAGCTACTTTGTAATCATAAGCATTTTATCAAAGCATTTATTAATAATATTATAATCTTCTCAGATTCATTTAAGAACTATCTGAAGCATCTTGATATTACTTTGAACATTTTTGATAGAAAGGAAATCTCTATTTCTCCTATAAAGAGTTATATTAGTTTCCTCTTAATCAAACTTCTTAGCTTCTATATCAATATGCTTAGTCTGTTTATTACAAAGAAATGCATTGAGGCTTTTCGAAAGATAATCTTTCTTAGAAATCTTAAGAATTTCGAAATCTACTTTAGTGCAACCAGTTTCCTACAAATAATAATCCTATACTATATACAGCTCATAAAACTGCTTCAACTGCAAAAGATAGCGCTGCTAGCTGAAAGCTATAAGCTTGGAAAAATCATATCTGGGAAGAAATCGCAGCATCAAGCTTATATACATTATATATACTATAAGCTAATAAATGCTAAAAAGATAGCTTTTGAGAATCTACAGAATACTATCTACAGAAAAATGCACTTATACTATATGAAATCATTGCAGAAGCTATTTATTTAAGTAGATGAATACTTGCAATGAGAATTTAGCATAATAATCTTTTAATTGAAGGAAGACTATATTTAGCAATCTAGCAAGCTAATCCTCTTGCATACTATCAAACTAGTAATATTTCTCAGCTGCTGCTTAATAAAAGCTGAAATGAATTACAATCTCTCTAAGCAAGAGATTGCATATCTAGTTTAAGCAATAAAATGCTTGTATAAGCTGATTCAATTAAACCAAGCACAGCTTGTAATTATTCTTACAGATTACAACGCTACGCATAGCATCATTACTCAAACACGCTTTAATACCTTATTTACAAACTGTACTAACTAATATCTTATCAATGCTTTCATCTATCTCAGCTAGTACTAGTTCAATATTTACTATCTAGCTAGGAAGCTTAACTATATTCCTGATGCTTTATTAAGGCTGTTTGCAATAGGAGATGCAGAGATGCAATAGAGCAACAAACTAGCTACTCTTAATATAGTAATTGATAATCTATCCACAGTTTTCCTTATCTTATTGGAAGTACAAATATCTGAAAATATGCAATAGCGCTTCTAGCAAGAATACAAGAAGAATACAGTTTATAGGAATATCATTACAGATCTAACAAAGATCAGTTTAGCTAGAAAGAAGCTTTCTATCTTAATAAATAATAAGAATATTATTTCTGCTTCTAAGCTCAGCTATTCATTCTGCTTAAAGAACTAACTATTATATAATTACAATAATAATAGAAAAGAATACCTTGTTATCTTACAACTTCTAATATAGAAACTTCTATACAATGCATATAATAATAAGTATTACTTTAGCAGAAACTATATAATAGCTAAATTGAATAATCTTTACTTCAGAAAAAAGCAACTGCTTATCTTATAGTATATTGATTACTGCTACAAGTATAGCATTTAGAAGAAGCAAAACTAGAAGCTAGCAGGTTTATTTCAACTAATTCAAGCTCTTTCTGAATCTATATATACAATCTCTCTCGATTTCATTCTTAGATTGCTCTCAGTCAAATTAATAAGCATTCCGTAGCAGATAAAAAGTTTCAAAGCTTATAACTTGCTAATGCTCATTACTTGCAAGATCTTCAAGAAAACTCTACTAATTCCAAGCTACTTAATCTACTTAGCTAAGCAATGGGAAGCTGTTCTGAGCAGATAGCTGCTGTTGAGCAACTAAGCATGCTTTCGAGCAATTATCTCTGATTATAATGCTAAGTTCATCTTAGATTATTAAATGAGCTTATGAAAAACCTTTAGTATGCATCTACAGATAATTATAATATATTATTCTCAAGCTAATAGAGCAGCTAAACAAAAGAATTAGAATATTAAGCTAGCTATTAGATATTATACTGCTAAACATTCTGATAAGATTTGAATAAATCTAATTCCCTCTTTATAGTGAAATCTAAACAACTCATATTAATATTCTATTAATGCAAGCTCTTACAAGTTTCTGTTCGGATTTAAGATTCAGTTATCATTCAACTAATTAGTTAACATTATTAAACAACTATTCAAGATATACTTTATACATAAATATCTGCAAAAAGATATACAATTAGCTATGAATATTGTTGCAGCAGATAATAAATGCATATATAATGCTAAATACTAATACAAAGAATATAAGAAGAGTAACAAAGTCTAGCTAAAACTTAGCAAAGTATACAAGCTACTGCTATATCAGGCTAATAAGATATAAGCTCTTTGCAAAAGCTCTTTTATGATTATCAGAAAAATATTATCTTTAGCTTATAAACTTAACTTCAAAACTGATAACTATAATGCTAATATTCAAGTATACTCAGTGATTAGCATTCAGTACCTAAATCAGTATAAGCTTACTAACAATCTCTTCAATTGCTAGCTACTTAAGCTTAGTCTGATCAAGCATAACAAAAACAGTAATAACTCAATTAAATCTGATAAAAACTATTACAAAATCGATTACATTATAAATAAGAAGATTAAGCAATAAGATAGCAAGAATATAGTACAATATCTAGTATAATAGAAGAGATAATTCTTATAGCACAATCGCTAGAAGAATTTGAGAAGCTTTAAGTATTCTAGCCTTATCAAGAAATATAAACATACATATTCTAACAAGGCTATAGAAATCCTTATAAAAAACAGCTCAGCTGATCCTGTAAAGAGAAAGCGCAGCTAGCCTTCCAAGAAACTATTGCCTAATAGCAATGAGAATGGAAAAGCCATGCTAGCACAGAGGAAGCAAGATCAGCCTGCTAAGAGCACAGCCTCCCCAGCTATCAACATTGATGCATCTAACAATACGTCTGGAGGCCTCCCTGAGCCTAAAAAGGATGGAAAACAGAGCTCTAAGACCTCTCCTGGCTTCCGAAGAAGCGCGAGACTGATACGTGGATACGTGATCCCTAGATAGCTGCTGAGAACAGCAGGAACGTTTTTCCGTGGCCAGCACTTGTGACAGTAGCCATAGAGGCCTTAGGTGAATGAGGCCTGGGTAGCCACCCTGACTCACTGGCCTGGGCTATTCAATGGAAAGGCAGTAAGTTGCCAGGTATGCTAGCTCAGTTGGGACTAGTGCTAATTGCCTTCTATATAGAAGACAATTGGCAAGCATGCCTTGAGATAGATTAATTGAAGAATCATCTTCCTTTCTACCATTTGTACAGCCCCTAGAGTGCCTTCTACAATTTGTGTTGTTCTACACAAATAACAAAGAAACGATCCAGCTGCTGTATAGCCTCGTGGTGCTCATTATCTCCGTATCAACCAGCGTACTGTCAATAATCTCGAGGATGCAGTCACGAGATGAAAAGAATTAAAGTTTGAAACTGGCTACGGAGTACTTCTCTAGGATCTTGGTGTAGCCATTCATGATCTCAGCCGTGCCGCGAAGCTCGAACATCACCATCAGGCTAGGATTACAGTCAAGACTACCAGCTTTCATCTAAGCCCCAAACGAATTCCGGCATCGTGATACCAACAGGCAGTATATAGCAAGTTGTGGCAATAATCTCGACAAATCAATAAACTGATCAAGTATCACCTGCAGCTATGATCGCAACCCGAGAGGTGCGTAAGAAGGAGAGGGTGAGAGATCTTGGCTGCCTCGCTGGCATACCTGAGGCAAGGTTAGACTTGACAACTGAACAGGCGCGTCTCGGCACGCAAACTGCTCTTCCTCAGATTTCAGTAGAGATAGGCGCTGCAAAACTTTCAAGCAGTGAATTCTGGAAGTCCGTGTTTCTAGGCATTGGCGAGGCTATCTTTGAGAAGCGTCTCAAAGTCAATATCGCGCCCATCGAGAACCCCGGTGTCATGAATAGTGTCCTTCACCAGCTATATCTCAGTGCTTCCTTTAACTTCTGTTATTTGCGTCTACGTAGTGCAGAGGCGCTCCCTTCAAGACGATCTGAACGTTCAAGCTGGAAACATGCCGATCATAATTGGGCTGAGAGTCTAGTGCTTTTGACTTGACAGCCCAACAGACATTTTGATGTGAAATTACCGCAAGACCCAACCTGAATCGTATTCAAGTCGCTGCTATCTCGCGAGTACTGTCGTAGTAACTATCTACCAAGTGCTGATGTACCTATATGAAATACTCAAGCGATCATTTTAGTGTGCTTATACTTTGCACCATTTGAGAATCTCACTCCTTTGGACCGGTATCTTCCCCAGCAGCCATCTTGGCCTTGTACTCCAGAAAATATTTGATACCCTTCGGTATGCCGTTCCACATCAAACCCTGATTCATGCCCACTACACGGTGTTCCATGGCCTTCTTCAACAAAGTTCGCGAGATGATATGCTCGTGCTAGGCTGCAGCATCGGGGAAGCCTTCGAACTTCTTCTCTGGCTCGCACATAACTACAATATCGAAACGGTCGTTCTACGGTGCGAACAAGATGCCTGCATACGTGATACGGTCACCATCCAACACTGCTTTTCTTCAAACCAGCCCTCTAGCACCTCGAGGACACGCCAAGCTTGACCATTATAGCGCTCAACAGCCGATGGGACTTACTCTGGGGGCATGATGTTGAACGCGTATTCATTTGCCTGCCGGCAAGGGGCTAAATTCAGCAGGTTATTCAACATCAAATCTGTGATTGTTCCTTCTTGAGAGTATGTGCCAGATAGGAACGGATGTGTGACATCTTTGCATGGAGTAAAACGACAGGAGTAGAAGGATGAACATACTAACCAGCCTGGCCATAGTAAGGACCTTAGCCGCTGACTTGAAAATGAAGCTACTGATTGCAGTGATGCTTTGTCCTTGAGGGTGCTGTAGCTGATGAGGTCTTTGATATCGTACTGCTCGATCAAGTAGTTCGGAAGAGCACTCGTGTCCTAAAGAGTCAGGCCACTGGTTGGGTCCTCGATAGCTGTGAGAGGCATGCATGGGGCACTGATGTCAGAGATTGACTCCAGAGCTTCTTTCATTCTTTTTTTTTTTTTAAAAAAAAAAGTTTATCCTTTTTGTTTATGTGAGGTTTGTCAGAATCGACCGATCGTCTAGTGTTAGACTCTGGATTCGAAACGATAGGGAGAAGGGAATGAAAGCACATACTGGGATAATGGCCATTGTGGTTCAAATCAGTGTAGGGCTTCTTCTCTACTTCAGCCAATTTGAGGGAGATGATTTCACATTATTCAAATGGAAGTTTTAGCTCTCCATGAATAACTAGGATTTGGCAATTGTGAAAGAGAGCAGTAGGCAGTGTATGCCTTGGAGAGTGGTGAGGTGGGCCATAAAGCTTGAGGATGGGATCGGAAAGGTGGTGAAATCTGTCACGGCTCTTACAAGAAGAGAGAGCTCCTCCAAGATGACCATAACCTTCCAAGGATTGAGGTCCGAAGATGTGAACATAGGGTCAGCTATGTCAAGTAATCTCGCGTGGAGATGAAGCTTCGCGTAAGGCCACTAGATGCAGCTTACGGCTCAACTAGATCTCGAGGGACTTGAGGCTCATTCTGGCCCAGCCATTGCCCATGAGCTCAATCCATGTTGGCTCCAAAACGTATGATATCAAAGTGCACCTCCAATTGCATAATAATAGGAGACCGTGTGCTACAGCATAGAACAAGGTCATGGTATTAATCATGCGTCAATGCTCAAGCAATAACTCCAAGCCATCATGAAAAGTTGGACATACTGTCTGACCCCCCCTTGCCGGACACCCGTACCCGCCGGACACTAAAATGCGAAATGGCCCACACAATTGCCACCTTTTCAAGTATATAGAAATAATTCACTTCAAATCGTATAATAATAATAAATATATCATCGAAATGATCTAAATTTCCTCATTCCAAATATCTAGTTGGCATACGGCTAGTCCGCCCAGAAGATCGACGAATTGGTGGTGAATCCTTACGTGGAATGTCTGCATTATCGTCCTCAGAGTCCTCCTCGTCAACCTCGTCTTGAACCTCCACAATATCCTCAGCAGGCAAATCCTCCTCTTCCTGGGCTGTGTTGGCCTCTTCTCCAGCCGAAAGTGCCTCTGAAATAGTCATAAAGCGTTTGTTAGGATTGGGGATCTTCTTGCGCTTTCGGGTCTTCGAAATGGCCTCGTTCTGAGCCTTAAGGGAGGCATTTCGCTGTCGGAGCAAGATAACCTCAGCTTGGAGGTCTTTAAGGTGATTTGCGATCCTCCTCAACTTGCTGCGTTCGTTGTAGCTTCGGTCTCGGCCTATAGCAGTAATAAACTCATGGGAAATGGGCTCATTCTCCTCGTCCTCCTCCAACTCATCTGCTCCTCGTTTTTGCTTATCCTCCTGGATTTCCTCATGAGATAGGGCTTTATGGCGATTAATTGGATAGTTGCCACTATGTCTCCATCCTCCTTTTACTACTTTAGGAGTGATTGCTGCCCTGGCTGTGATGAGATACCGTAGAAAGTTGATCTTGTTAACAGGGGCTGAGTCTGTGAGATCTTGCAACTTTTGAAGTTCTTTCCGATAGGCTGCTTTCAGTACAGCAAATATGCCGTTATCTAGTGGCTGGAGGCTGTGGGAGGTGTATGCGGGGAGAAAGCAAAGGAAAACGTTATTCAAGTAGCAAGAAGCTATGAACTCCAGCTGTTTTATATCAGCACATTATCCTCGAGAAATACCACCTTGAGCTTCAAAAGATCTTAACTTACTGATGTATGGCTATTATGGCCATCTAGGATGAGGAGGATAGCTCGAGATATATCATTCTCACGGAGAATATTCATCTGAAGGAGGAAAACATCCTCAAGCCACGCTACCGCGATTTCATTGCTTGTCCAGCCGTTTTGACTGGTAATCACGCGCCAGGTTGGCACAGACTGCTCCATGTCTTCAGAAAACCACTGTTTTTGAAGATCTTTGCCCTTGAAGATGATGCCTGGGTCGAGAAGCTGGCCTGTGGCTGTACAGCTTTCAATGAGAGTAACCCAGCTTCTGTCCTGGCTGCTTTTGAGGAATGCCTTCTTTTTTTCAGAGGATCCAAGGACCAGCGAGTTCAGGCCTATCAAAAGTATCAGTTCAGGAGCTCTGAGATGAGGATTCCATAGAAATTTACCATATCCAGTCATAATGCCACCCTCATCCACATTCACTGTAAGCTGTGGCTCGATCCACCCATATTCCTTCTCGCGAATGTCGAAATACTAGTTAACAGCTTTCGGGGTGAAGGCATCGTATCTGGTGGCTTCCTGGCGAGTGCCTATTTTATGGCGAATTTGAGGATTTCTCTTCTTGAAGCCCTCTATCCATTTGCGGCCAAGGGCATTGAGATCTCCCTTCTGCTTGAGGAGGGCTCCTACAACACCACGCACAGCAGAAGCTGATGGAGCATATCCTAGGCTCTCCTACTTGATGATTCATCTCGATATCTTCTTTTCCTCAGTAGTAGAAAGGCGTTGTTGAGGTTTCTTTGCTTCTTGAACTGAGGACCCTGCATGCAGCCGATCTGACAGCGTTTGGGGGGCGATTCCGTGTTTCTTGGCTGATTTTCGTAAAGATAAATGGTTATCTATAATATCGAAGAGGGCATCAGCCATATTCTCCTCATTCCAGGCGTGGGAAGGCATTGTGGCTTGCTTGAGGTAGAAGATTGTTGAAGGAAAAGGATCATGGATATGAAGACAGGAAGGAACAGATATTAGCTTCCGGCATTGCCAGAATTGCGTCATAAGGCGTCCAGGCATAGATATAAGTATATCAATAGATTCGTCAATTAAAGGGCTATCTATCTATCAAAACAGTTTCTGAATAGCTTCAATATTGAGGAAATAATATGTAAGTGAGGATGTTGGTATTTGTATGGCGCTGTCGGAAATTAGCTGTCCGGCGGGTACGGGTGTCCGGCAAGGGGGGGTCAGACAGTAAATCTTACCTTCGTTTCAGCCAGATAATCATATTGTCTCCAGCTCAGCTCAAAATGGTTATATGGAGAATGTTGCAACATTGTTCAGGTTTCTTTGACTGCAGCAAGCATAAGAAATTTCTTGCGTCATATGGTCTAAGCAATAATCCAGGAAATTGAAGGTCTAGTATCATCTTCGCCGAGACCGTTTGTAGCTCGCTCATTCTGCAAAATGCCCCTCTCTTAAAAACGATCATCGGAAGTACCAAAGCCACCTTGATTACTAATAATGCCGAACTTCTAGACAGAGAAGGGTCTTATTTTTATGTTTCGATGCAACAAGAAACCTAGTCGCAACAATGGAACTTTTGAAAGTAGCAAAGTATGATGTGTTGCATGAAGTATTAAGTGTAGGTACAGATGATGCTGTGCTGTTCGTGATGGTTCGTGATGCTATATAGTGCGGACATAAACGTGTTCGAAAAAATGCATGTTATTTTCCCTCGTTCTATATATTTTTTTTTTTAGAAGTACACGCTAATATACGAAAGCTCGATCTCCAAGTACATGAAGTGCAAATGTTCTGTTACAAGCCTTGCCCCGAAACTCAATACGAGGGCAGAGTGTCCAGCCACGACTCGAGGAAAGTGGTCCGGTTACTGGCCTCGGTAAGCCAGCTGGATTCGAAAGAGTCTCCGAGCCACATAATCTCTTGGGTCTCAGTAGTCAGAGCCGGCCACTGGCTCAGGTTTCCGCCGTTGGGGTTTCCAGTCTTGATGAAGTTGGCCCAGTACTGCGCCATAACAGCCTCGATTTCGTAGTCTGTCTGGTTCCAAGTGACATTGCTGTAGCTGGCATATGGGATGTTGTTGAAGTTGTACCAGAGCTCGGAGCCGTGGTAGGCACCTTGGTCTTGGTCCTCTGCGGGGGTGTGGTACCAATAGTATCCATACACATTGCTGGACGCACCGCCAGCTGTCCAGGCCTGGCCCCACAGCCAGACGCTAAGCCGGTTCAGGTCGTCGAACAAGGCGTTGTTGGCGTTGTTGGCATCGTCGTCGCTGGCTGCCGGGTACAATTCAAAGAACTCGGTGGAGAAGTTCTGGAAGGCCTCAGCAAAATCAGACTTGAAAGTCTCGAGGGTAAAGCCGGGAGCGGTAGAGGCACCGGACTCGTCCTTGTTTCCGCCCGTCAGGACGGGCACGTCGGCATGATCATTCGAGGCCAACGCCTCACCGTAGCCCAGGGGGAGGACGTAACCATCGATGACAGGACGCCATAGGGGAGGGTCCATGAATGCGCTGGTGAGGTTAGCATAAATGGTATCATCGAAAGTGGTGTCCATCAAATTGCCCTGGGCGATGAGGTCCTCCGTCGACACATTGCGGAGCTCTGCAATCGACGAGACATTCATCGTTTCGAGAAAGGAGACTCCGTCGGCCTCGGCGGCGGCCTTGGTGCGATAGCTGGAAGCCAGACTCCCAATGAGAGGGTCCTTGGGCGTACGAGCTCCGCTCTCCGAAATGACACCAGCAACCATATCGCGTGAGAGAGGGCTATAAATGGTATCCAGAGCACACGCGGATCCTGCAGACTGACCTCCCACAGTGATCTGCGATGCGTTGCCACCGAAGTTCTCGATGTTTTCGTACACCCACGTCAGGGCCAGTTGTTGATCGAGGAGACCGTAGTTACCAGAGGCATTGTGACCAGATTCTGCGGAGAGGTCAGGGTGTGCAAGGTAGCCAAAAGCGCCAAGGCGATAGTTGATAGTAACGACGATGATATCCTTGCTTGCCAAACCTGCTCCATTGTAGGTTGGAACAGCACCGTCACCGCCCTCAAAGCGACCGCCGTAAATCCAGAAGTACACGGGCAGATTTCCAGCGGAAGTATCGCTCGGAGTCCAGATATTCAAGAAGAGACAGTCCTCACTGGACGTGTTGTAGATGTTGCCCAAGACACTGGCCGAGTCCGACGCAGGTGAGGCGCAGTTGCTGCCAAAGGCCGTGGCGTTTAGGACACCCTCCCAGGATGTAGTTTGGGGCGCCTTCCAGCGATTGTCCCCGCCGGTAGAGGCGCCGTAAGGGATACCCAGGTACTCGGTGACGTCGTCGCGATAGGGAGAAGCTTGGCCCCGGAGTTGGCCATAGGTGGTGTTGATTATAGGATAAGTAGTCGCTGTGGCTGTAGCCGACAGGAGAGCGGCGACAAAAGCGTGGGAAAACATGATGTGAAACCGTTACCAACGAATGTGAAAGCAATTGGTCGGCAAGATGAATGAAAGAGTGAATGCTTGAATAGTACAGTGAGAGCAAGTTCACCACAGCGTCAGGACAGGCGGCTTTATATTATAGACAAAATACCTAAGGTTCAATGCCGTCATGCTGTAGAACGGCTGTGTCGGCGGTTTAGCTCTAGAATCTTGGAATGTTAGGGGCAAAGGACTCCATTGTCGCGCCACGGCATCATTGCTGCGCCTCGTAAAACCGCTCACGACATGCGTACGCAGCATCGCATGTGTGACCAAGGAGCATAGAGCCTAGGTGTCTATAGTATTCTAGCAAAGAATTCGGAAGCTCGGCTGTACAGTAGGGGATACGGTAAACAAATGTTCCATGGATAGGAGTGGGGCGATTAATTAAAAGGCCCGTTATGCGGATCGACAAGGCTCAGTCGTATGAATAATGTAGGTTGTGTTTGCATGCTCGGCTCGAAGTTAAGAGCTTTGGGCGAGCCTACCCCGTACTAGCGCGTGGGTCGGGGGTTGCGTTTTCACCAAACCTTGGCTTGATGGGCTTATAGCTTGTAGAATAACACATTATTACTGCTAAACCGTTGTCCCAAGCGCAGAGCGGCTCGAAACATCTTTCTCCGGCTTGGTGTCGTTTTCCTTGCATGAAAAAAACCACCGAAACCCACCAAAAACGTTGTTGGTGTACTATAAAAGTTTTTAACGTTTAATTACGTGTTTCTGCCACAATAACGCGAAAACACCGTTGCATGTCGAGCTTTCCGGGTCTTTAAATATAGAACCCGTCTAACGCAATTGTCACTCCCTACCTAAAGCCGATTTCTGTTGCTGAAAAACAGCACAGCCTGTCTGTCTAGAGAGAGATGGCACCGCAGAAAAGTGTGTCTTAGTAGAAAAGTATGTTAGACGCTCACAGACGTTCCACCGCCCTAAACAGTAAAAGCCCTTCAACCTCTTCCGGTCATAATCCAGGCATATGAATATAGTACAAGCATCTCGATGCCAAAAGCCCGCTGTCCTGACCCCGTGGGCTTTTAAAAATCGACCTCTCATCTGGCCAGACATTAAGGAGAGAGCATGTGATGTACACGTGCTGTCAACAACTGATAAGCTCAGCGGAGACGGGCACCCCGCTCTGGGTGGACTTCGGTTTAGAGGAACAGTCCACTCTCGTCTGCCGGCGGGCCGCGCCATGTGCTATGGTATGTAAGTGGACATGGATGACGGATGTGGCAACATAAATTGGGATCCACGTCAACCAGGCACGGTCGCATAACTGACATTGGACAGAGGGGCAGGGTCCTCGGGATTCAGGCATGCGTATGTTAAAAAAAAAAAAGTCGACAGCAGGGAAAGACCGAAAGAAAGGTAGAGTGGGAGCCCTGTCCTAGACTCTTTTGAGGGAACTGAGCAGCAAAAGCAGAAAGAAAGGATGTCTTGGATGTTGCTATCTGCTGCCCCCCCCCCCCCGGAAAAAAGAGGTGGGGGGAGAGTGGCGCTTGTATAATGAAAACTTCCATGAAACCCAAGTCATTGAATATCTTCTGTCAGATATTGGGGTCTTGACAACTAATCTCTGTTGCCATCAATATATTCCAGAGCACCAAGTCATTCTCCTTAAACTCTGGAAATACCCTAATATCTGCGTTGCAGCTGGGACGAAAGCGAGTCATGGAGTCGTCGACATCGATGAAGATAGTGCGGATGCTCCGCGGTAGCGCCTTTAAGGTCTTGATGAACTCAATAGTAGCAAGCAGAACTTGTGCACTTAAGTAATTTATACAGGTCGTAGTCACTTGATGCAAGAGGCTCGATACAGTAAGATCAATATCACCCCGTGTGCTGCTGCAGCTGAAACGTCAGATAGGGGTTAGCCAGCTCGACAGTCTCTTTCCCCTCTTAATCCCATGGCGCCGACCTTTTGGCACCATAATCTCACGATATTCGGATGTTTCCTGAGTCAGAAGTCCCCCATAACTATGCCCCTCTAATCCGTCGCCGATGCCTTTACCAGCGCCTCATCTGGCATGACTCTGCTGACGCAGAGCATGCCGCCTCTCTCACAGTGCTCATTTTCTGATGCAAGCACACCGTCGCTACTAGTATTGGCCAAGGTATTCATGACACGGATCATTGATGATGACGCATGGACAGTCTCGAATGAAGGAAGATTTAGTATCTTAAAAATGAGGTGGGCTCCTCGCCGCGCAATCTAAGCGCGAGAAGCCGTGGATAAGGGCTTTTGAGGGAGACGAAATGCTCAACTGCGAGCCCGTATTGAGCCACAGCAGCCTGCAGCCCGTCTTCAGGAGTTATTAAAGTCGCTCCGATCGAATTTTGCAATATTTCCCAGAATGTAACCCTAGCCCGAAGCAAAATCTATGCGACAGCTAAAAGGAGTGATCACTCCCAGCTGACTGGAAGGGGACTATGGCCTATATAGCTGCGTAACAGTCGGGCTCACACACCCCCTCTCTACTCTAGAGATGATCAAGCTCTAGAGTAGACTAGGGAGGCCGAACTGAATGTAATGCAAGACTATTAATCAGTTTCTAAGATGGATATTTTATCTACTTGGCTATATCCAGAGCTCAAAGCAAAGCATGCAGGAGTTCCTGAAAGTAGGCTTTTTAGTGATTATACTCAGGTTTGTAATGTGGTTAGATGGTAGTTCGAATGAATTTTTTCTTCTAAGTAGGGCTAGATTGTTCCTCACTGAAGTAGGAATTCCCTGTGTAGTAGCTTAATTATGTATGAGGGAACAAGCGGAAGGATTCATAATCTATACGATAGCTAAAAGGAGTAATCACTTCCAGTTGACTGGAAGGGGACTATGGCCTAATTACATAGCTGCGTAACGGTCGGGCTCACACAAAATCGGCTTGCTGGCGGTACATAGTATACTCCTCGCAGCTGACTGATCGCTCTGTGATACTGCCCGCCAGCCAAGGCTTCGCAGGGATTCGATGAGAACAGGGCAATCTTTGGTTGTGCCCCTTGAAAGATCCACTAATGGAACCCCAGATGCCTCCCCCCCCCCTTTTCCCCCCTTACCTGGGTACGTAAGAGATGGAGTACACAACAAGGCGACTGAAGGGGTCTCGAACAGGTCGACGCTCGTAGACTGAATCCCGCGGGCGATAACATTGAAACAAGACTCTTAGAGTCCCAGACATCACCATATCCACTTCGAATGCGGATGGTGGCGGCATCCTTTGTTTTACAAGCATTAAGACGCCAACATAGAAATTTCCAGCACTGGCTGTGGGGGCTGATACCCGCGTGACTTCACACGCAGGATGACCATGTCGAAATTCCCGTCACCTCCAAAAGGGGAGGTTTTCCAGGTACGCTGATGTCATGGATATGGAAGTAGGTTCCGCGCATACCTTGGAGACGCGTCTGGACCTCCGCAAAGAGCTTGTCAGTTCTCGAGTCTGCGTGATTCTCGCAAGGCTAGTCTGCCAACATGTCCAAGTCGAGGACCGCAGGAGCTGTTATATTGTGCTTCAGCAGCGCTAGCAGGTTCGCGGCCGTCTGCGGCAGACAAAGGTCGTGAGCGAGGACTGCAGCCTGAATGCTCGATAATGCGAGAGTCTCGAGGATCACGTTCTACCACAATTGGGAGATGTCAGCTTCTAAGTTTGAGCTCATGAGGTTCTGCGTCGTATCTCCGACTTTAGGTATGTTATGTCTAGTTTCATGAAATGAAGATTACATGTGCTAGAGAATACTGCGCCTGACACTCACTGGTAGAGAATGGCGTTAACCTTGTAGTTCTCCGTCTTGTCGAGCCGGCCATTGATAAAATGGGAGCCAATCAGGCCAGCGCGCTGCGTGGCTTCTCGTGCCTTGTCCAGATTCTGAGTGTTCGCTATCAACCGAGGGGCTGGTGTCTTGTTGACAACAAGGGATGACTGACCTTGGTACATAAATGGCACTGTTGATTGAGAAAAGAGTCCAAGACTGCAGGATGAAAGGCATATCTTGACTGCTTTTCCTGAGCAGGCAGTATGGAGATTTTATGACGAGTGTTTCGCTACAGGCGAAGGCTTCAAATCTCCATCAAGCTTTTGAAATGTAGGGACAAAATTGAAATTAGCTCTCTTGAGGGGGTTGTATCAGCGTTGGCGACGGATAACAAAGTGGCTCCAGTGCAGGTGTTCATGCTGAGGCGGAAAGCGGCGGATTAACACGACGAGGCCGCGGCAGTGTGCGGTCCCGCCTTCGTCGCACAGAGTTGAGATATGGAAGCGGTATCAAGTGTTGGCTGATCCTAGTGTGGGACTCAAGGAAAGTATAGGAGGTGGTCGGCATTTCCTCTGCAACGAGAGCTCTACAACGAGATCGCGGAGGAGCCGCACATCCCGTGGGAGCTATAGAGCCTGCTCCACGTTATCTATATTGGACAGAAAATCCAGCCCAGAAGACTTCCCTATACGAAATACGGTGTCGATGGTCATTGTGATGTATGCAGATGCAGGGAATTTTGGTATTGGCACCGCACATATGGTTCCGGATCCAAGGACCGTCCTTGAGGCGCAGTGACCTTTTGAACGTGGGAGAGTCTCACGGCTAGCCCAGTATCTTTGTGCTGAGCAGGTAGTGCGCTGAGAAAGGACGTTAACGCCGGTCTTTTCTGGCTAGGCTCTCGTGCCAGTACTTGACGGAATGGTTCCACTGATAGTTCGGGAGGTGTGTAATCCCACGAAGCTGCGCGGCTTCGCATCTCTGTCGCAGACTTTTCGAAGACCATTGCGGCACCCGAGAGAAAGAGCTTCCTTGCTCAGTTGAATAGAGGACGGGCAGCTATCTCCCCTGGCAAATGCTGCTGTGTATTCAATTGAGGCTATGCCGTGGCCTACCGACTACTTGATCTGCTTGACGGGGTCAACCAGAGTACCACTAAGTCCTTTCTCAATAAGGTGCTCAGCACTGCCCTCACGGATCATAGCTGTGACTCCCTGACCGAAGGGGACGGGAGACATTACGTTCGAAAACCCAATATTCAACAGAGGTTGCTTGTTCCCGTTGCTCATATCAAGTCCCAACTGTGGAAAAGAACTGAACGCCGCGGGACCTCTGGTGCACCTTCAATGCAGGAGAGTATCTCTCAATAAGACTTTGATAATGATCCACCATCTCTTTCATGTACTCGGAGCGACTCTGGGGACAAGCAGCCTGATACAACAGCTGCTGGGATCTCGCCAGACGAGCGTCCAGCCACGGCAGAGGACTCCAGACCTCAATCCTCGAACACAGCCAGCAGAATCAGCTGCGGAGCCGTCACCAATGGCTGGGAAAACTTGGTAAATTGTATGTGCTCGGCCGACCGCTGGTGGACGAACTCTGCGGCCAGACTCCATGATGAAGGCTCAGATATGGACGGGAACACCTGCTCCAGGTGCTGTATAGTGTTTTTCATGACTGGAAATTCTCCCAAGAACCTCGCAGCCCATCTGCGGCCACTACGCGCCCTACGCCGTGAAGACCGGGCCGACGAGCGAGATTCCGTCGAGCTTACCGTACACAAATTGAATTCTCCTTAGACTTGACCCCGTCAAATACAGCATACGTGCAGTGGAAATGGCGCGCGCGCTTTTGCGATAAGGTATAATCCAGATCGGCAGAGTCGACGTTCACCGCCGGGTCGAAAACGTGGTGCAATAGCTTCCTGGCGGACACCTGCAGCGAGATCTCGTCTTCATCATTCTCATTAGCAAAGATATCGTCGGTGGGAGCTGCGTGCGACGTGACTCCTGTTTTCTCATGTCCAGGAATGAACCTCTGGGTGCTCCACAATAACCTGGGCGTTCGATTCTCCATTTTCAAACCAGTTCATTCTCGTCATCCCCATCATGGCCTGTGACAATGGGGTGGCCGTCTTCTAGGATAAAATCATCAGCACGCTGAGGTCGATATTTGGGTTCGGAATCTCAAAGCTCGGATTCCCAGATATGACTCAACACTCAACTGCTAGCACTGTCTTGAGCATCCCAAAACCTCCAGCTGCCGGCTCAGAATGGATACAGCATCGACCTGTGACAGCCCAAAGAAGCGAGCATCCAGGTCATTTGGGCTTGCATTGATCAACATGCCTCCTAGCGAGCGCATCGTCCAATTTCCGCAAGGTGCTGTCATAGTGACCCTTAAGATTGCGTCTTAACGGTGGAGGGGTTAAACCGGCAATTTTAAGCCAGATCGGAAAGGTCTTCATCGTAACGGGCGGCTCGAACGGCCTGGCTTACGAGCTGACACGGCAGCTTTATGGCGCCGGCGCTAAGGTCAACATCCTCACTCGTTCTAAGGAGCGTACAGAGGCTGCGATTTCCAAGATCAAGGCGTATTACGATGACCAAGATGCTAGAAATCAGAGGGGAAGTCTCGAGTTCGTTCATATGAACTTGATGAATATAGGCACTATCAAGGCAGCCGCCCAAGATGTGCTTGATCGGGAGGGCCCGGGTGGACGTTTAGATGTTCTGCCAGTCAATTTTATTCACTACCTGGCACCAAGTTTATACAACCGTGAAGGTATTATGTCGTTGATTCTTGCTATAGATTCAATAACGCAGGGGTAGCAGCCTGAGACAATCCTCCCCTCAACGTTCAGGGTCATAAGCACCATTTTGCTGTCGACATGTTAGGGTCTAACCTCCTGACGAAGCTCCTTTGGCCTATTCACTCTAAAACTGCAGAAAGCACTCTACGCGGTAGCGTGCGGGTCACCCGGCCCGGATCCATCCTCGTTGAGCTAGGCAGCCCCAAAGGCGGTGTGCGTAAAGAATTCCTCCAGCATCCTAGGTCTGCGGAAGGCCGGGCAATAATGGCGGCCGAGATGTACGGCTCGACTAAGGCGGCATGGTATTTCCTCGCATCTGAGTTCGCGCTAGGCTCAGCCAGTCCAGCATGGACGTCAAGGCCGGCCTTGGCCTGTATTATCAGCAATAGAACGATGTATAAAAGGTTGAGGAAAGAGTTGAAGGGGCGATGTCCGATCCGGCGGCAACGCCGTCATTTGATAGGCTTGAGAGATTGCCGCATTTGAGTGCTTACACATATTGAAGAAGGCATGTTCGGATGTCTGTTCCACATTTGCTTCCTTCCTCCGTCCCGCGGACTAACATTTTATTGATTGCTTCGCTTACACACCTCAGCGGTAGCTTGGCAATTCCTGAGATACAGTCTCATACGACTCTAAGCTGTTGAAGCACTACATGGCGCCCTTCGGCAGACGAGGAAGAACCTGCCTCGTAATCACCTTGAGCTATGTTGAGATACCTGTCACTCTAGTATTACTGTCTAGAAGGTCTGACTGGGAGGCCTATGACATCATGTATGAGAGGGATATCAAGATTGTGAGCGATCAGATGGCCCTTGATGCATCTTTTGCGAGCAAGAGAGTCCGGGTGATAGCGAAGCAGAGATAGTCAGGCGTGACTCCTCATGGGGCTCAACACAAGACAAGGTCGTTAGAGACCAACTTAGTGCTCTAGAGTAAGAATCAAGGTGCTTTTCCGAAAGTAAAATAAATTATTTGGGTGGTTTACTTGCACATTCGTTATCATCAAACCGAGGTGCTTTTGTATACAAGCCTGATCACATCCTGTCGCATTCCTGCTGTTGTATATTAACAATAAGTAGCTTAGAGACATTCGCCCTACATTTCGGTACGCAGTGCGCCACTTTGTCATGTAGAACTTAATTGCTTTCAGCTGGGCTTGTTGCGCGGCCAAGATACGCACATGTTCGCTGTTTACTTCACTTTACCTTTAATAATATTAAAGGAGCATCGTATGATGAATGTTTAGGCGCGGCTTTCCTGTTCTCCACTAGAGCGACGATAGTTTGGTCCGTCAAAAGGGATAAAGCGCGCTAGTGACAGCGCAATGTATCTGACGGCTAGGTTGTGGAGTGCACTCATCCAATCGCTTCATCGCATTCGTAGCCTCACAGAATTTGGGATGAAACGAACGCCGGGTCCGACTTAGCAAAACGAAACTTTCAAACGTAGTTGCAACGAGCCGAGCCGCCTTATTGTAAGTGAAACCAACCGCGGTGTCTAATTATATAAGCATTTGAGGTCCCGCCGTCATAGATAATGTACGCCTTCTTGGAACTTTCAAGTAGATTAAATCTCCGATCGTTATAGGGAGAACGTCCCGTTCATGCTTAAACGGCAAGAAATTTGATGAACGAGCTGCTTTTTTTGTCCTACCTGATCATCATTTCCCCACATGTCGCCGTATACCCGATTTGCACAAAGTCGCGAGACTGTAAACGTAAACCGCGACTGATCATACCACTCGTAGTCGCCACAGGGCGATTCAGTTGACTCTCTCGGAATATAAGAAGTCAGAACTGTGCAGCCTCTCTATGATACGTATCGACATTGTTGAGTCGTGCATCCACTTCTTCTTCCACAATCCTTACAGTTCTTATACTCTCACTACTTTAAACATTAAATTGTTGACTTCAAAGAACTGGCTTCTTCACACTCGCTTCTCTTCTTTCAACTCATATTTGTAACGCTTTCTATCATTCAGACCTACACAAATCTACAACCGTCAAAATGAAGACTTCCAACGCCTTTTGTGTCATCTCATTTGCAGCTCTGTCAGCTGGCTCCCCCCTTCCTCAGGCTACTTCGGCATCGTCTTGCACGACCTATACTCTCCTCTTCGCCCGCGGCACCACCGAGACGGGCACACTCGGTACCATAGTTGGCCCTGGCTTAGAGAAATCTGTCGAATCCACTCTAGGTGCAACCGAAGTCACTGTTCAGGTTCGTACCATTCCTCTATGGAGTGAAAAGGAAGAAACAAAACCTAAATTAGTGTGTGCGTGCTGATCTCTTTGCAAACAGGGTGTCGCGTACGCAGCCGACGTGGCCGGTATTGCCGAGGAAGTGACTGGATCTGGCCCTGGTTCTGTCGCAATGGCCCAGGAGGCCGCAACAGCACTCTCCAGCTGTCCAGACACGAAATTGATACTCACCGGCTACAGCCAGGGAGCAATGGTTGTTCACAACGCGGCAACCAAACTCAAGAGTTCGAGCCAAATTTCATCCGTTGTTGCGGCGGTCACCTTCGGCGACCCATACAAGACTGAACTGCCTGCAGGCATTGCCACGGCTGATTTCCACACCTTTTGTGCTACAGTAAGTGAATGCTGCATCTTTTCAACTGTAGCCTCGGTAGAATTCCTATACTTACAATTCGTGTCTCCACAGGGCGATGAAGTCTGCGCTTATGGCGTAGGCACTTGTGCGGGCTCAGGCGGCTGTACGTCAAGCAGCACATTGGGCCATCTTGGGTACGGAGCCGATGTGGACGCAGCTGCGTCTTTCATCCAGTCGGCTGTCAATGGGAGTAGCACCAGCTCCACGGCTTCTGCTGCCTTGGCTGCCACAACGACTGCCGTTGCGCTTAGCTCAGACGCTGGTGCCGTATCTGGCTTGGATTTGGACAGTGCACTGGGTTCACTGCCTACAGATTTAAGTGACTTGGGCTTCAGCATCCCTACGGCAATTCCAACGCTAGGGTCTGGTGTGGGCTCCAGTTTTAGCATTCCTGCATTCAGCATCCCTGCTGCTTTGCCCACTAGCCTTTCTGGGCTTGGTATTGGCGGGCTGTAAGGACATGTCATGAAAGGTCAATCCTAAGCAACAATTCTTGTCCAGCCTGTTATGTGAGCTTTTCGATCTTACTTGCTTAGCAAGTTAATATGTGGATGGAATTAGGGTTCGGCATACGATGAGTTATTCTTGTACAGAAAGAAAAGGCAGCTAAAACATTCCTAGGGGGATACATTAACTCAGTTGCAAGGGTATGAAAAGGGTCTTCCTATGGTCGAAGGCTTGCTACATCCCTTCTTCTTTTAAGTTCAGTAGATATACAAGAAACAATTTGAGCAGAACATTGTCCCCATATCTACTTTACGCTTGGGCCGTAATATACAGCTTCAAACTTCGTTGCATATTAAGCATAATCTGAGTGATATCGATACGCATACAAGCCTTGTCGCAAATTATCCTTCTTATTGATTCTATTGAGGATTACCTGTTGATTTATCATAGTGAGTGCTTTAATCCAAAGTATAGCTCATCACCCTAAGATCTCCCTACGGACTGAGGTGGCGCTGAACCAAGCTGAGCTATTCACATAAATATTACATATGGGTAAACCACCCCCTATTCAGCGTCTCGGAACCCGAACATAGCGATTGCAGGCTGTCTAGTCAACTATGAGCTGAAATTCGAAGGATAAAGGAAATAGATGATCTTCAGACACCGAGAAGCTTGAGCTGGCACAGTAGGTGCCATAAGTGGGCAAAAGTGCGAATTGTAAGGTAGTAGATATGACTGTCGTTCATTGTTCCTCTTCTCCTCTTGCCCTTATATAGCTATTACTTTGGTAACATAAAATCATGCTCTTTCTATTGCATCTAGTTACTGGTCTTAGGTAGCTTAGAGGTGTTGTCGACAACACTCACCCACTCAGCTGGCAGGGTAACCATCACTAGCATACTGGCATGTACTAGATCATATGCCTCACAAATTAGCATTTACTAGCTGTACGTTGTAATCTGTTCAATATTTACGTAGGTTAGAAACGAACCACGTGAACTGTAGAATAAGGAAAGAAGTGTTAAGATTCGATACCACCGATATTCTACTCATATGGCTCATAGTGAATGTTTTCAGCTAACAAAATGAGAAAAGCGTTGCGAGGACTGCTGTCGTGGTGGCCAGGGTGGTAGTCCGTAGGACATGGAGTACAGTGGGTCAAGGGTCCTCATACATATAAAGGATACCACCCACTTTTCAAATTCTTTAGCTATAGGCAACAATCAAGCATCCTTTTCTCTTCTTTTCAATTTTGAACCCTTTGGACAGGTCTAAGACAGGTTTTTCACCCTGTTCTTGTGCCCGTGTGGCCTTAGTTTGCTGTCCTCATCTGCACAGGCACGCTTGGGTTGCACAAGCCCTTGCTCATTGCTTCGGCAGCTGTTCGTTCCTTTCTTTCGAGGGCGACAGCGCCCTAGTTCTGGTTCACTGCAAGCAGTTTTTGCAGTATTGGAATTGAAGCAATCAATTAACGATTGCTACAATCCAAATCCGGAGACTTAGACGTATAAATCTATATTTTGTTACTCAATATTAATCCCCAAGGTTTTTCTTGAGTCGACTATACTCACAGGCGAATGTAGCTGATGGTGTATGACTTTTGGTGTGAGTTATATTGTATGATATCTCTGTATATATGCAGAGGTACGGTGTTCGCAGCACCAAAGCCTCAAGTAGTCCATTGAGGTTCCTAGCCACTTCCATGCTGCATTGCGGGTTATGCAAAGACCGGAAGTCATCGAATTTGCACGTTGCACTGCTTGTCAGGGTTCTCCTGCAGCTGGTATCCGGGTCATAGGTTACGTAGAAGAACCGAGCTTCTACAATCGGGTTGTTCAGCTTTCCAGATTTGTTCTACAAAGTTGTCTCTGTTTCCAATAGTCGTGACCATTCACAGACCAATGCGATAAACCTTGTTGCCTACAATTTTAAGGGATTTCTGTTAGCATATACCAGCAAGCGGCCTGTTGAGCAAAGTCTTTCCGTTCAGAGAGTCATGAGAAATATGTATAGAGGGCTTATGCCGCCTCCCCCCCCGTACTGAAGCAAACAAAGTGGTAGTTGCTGCTGCTTTCTTAGATAACCCACCTCTCAAAACATACCACCAAGCAATCCCTCCCTCTCCATGATCATCAGGTCTAACTACAGCTATTACATCATTGCACTTTCTCTAACCCAATAGCATGTCGTCTTCGCTCAAACGAGTAGCAATTATCAAGCAATTTACCCTTATCGCTAGTCTGGCGGTCAGTACGACGGGTTACAGAGCCCGGACCATCAACCTGGCGGCATGGAGTATCAAGTCAAGGTTTTACCTGATGTACAGTTGGTTAAAAGAATCGCAGCTTCTCATGGAAATGAGACCGGTGCCTCAGAGGACATCAGCATCTGCCGTCAATGGCGGGCTATGCCAGGACATTAGTCTTCATACTATAACCTTAAAGAAGGCATGTGGACTCGCAGCTGAATGGTCTTCCACACGCATGGCAATCTCTTCTTTCACAAGCCTGTTGTTAGCGTACTAAACACATCATGGTCATTTGTGAAGCAAAAGCAAATTATCATTGCGCTAATGTATGCCAAGCCCTCAGCTGAAAAGGCTGCAGAAGGAGCATTACTAGGGCGTCCACTATGGGGTGGTATCCACTGTAATCATGATAATACCTTGAATGTCATTCGTGATTTGTCAAGTTAGCGACTGAGGTCAGCATACTAGTATATACCCTGGTGTCTTATTGCATGATTAATGTTTCGTGCTCAGGCAGCAGGACCAGTTGCTCTTGTCTCAGGGCCTTTGGGGGGAAAAGAATTGTACAGGGGGGGGGGGGGGGATGAACACTTATTTACCTCAAGAAGAAGCATGAGAGGAAGCAAGTAAAATTCGTACGTCTCCGGCAAAAAGTGCCGTAACTTTTTATTGCAACACTACAACTAGATCTTTCCTTGATTAGACTGACCCTGAATCTGTAAGTGAACTGAATTTGCATAGCTGCTTGGTCCATGTTGACTCTACGTTGCATTCGAAATTGCGGATATGGCTGACAACAGGAGAACAGCCCCTCCCCCCCCCCCCCAAAAAAAAAGTGAAGAAAGAAAAAGAAAACTGCTTTCGATGGATGCACCTACGGAGGACACAGATGTGTTCTTATCATCCGAACCATTTCTGTCAGGTTCTTCCACACACAGGTTGCACTCATCGAAGAATGCCGACACTTCGATCAAGCCCATGGATACTCTTGACGACGAGGGTGAAGGTTATCGCACAAAAGACGCCTCATTGAGGGAATCAGCAGCTGCGGCCGCAAGCGAGGGATTGTACTGGCGGCCCTTCTACCTCCGACGTCGTGTCCTAACAGCCTTTCTCGTCACCTTCGCTCTTATTGTATGCGCCATAGAGGTACTGCTTGCTGTATCCAACCGTAATGATGGCTTCACTACAGCTGCATCGGGCGAGTACTACCTCTGGACGTACGGTCCGACCGCATTCCTGACCCTGATCGCGGCTGCTTTCAGTCGAGTTGAGTACCAGAGCAAGATCTCTGCGCCATGGGAGCACATGGCGAGACAAGCTAGCAAAGCTGCAGATTGCCTCTTGCTAGACTACGTGTCCGAATTTCAGCTCGTCACGATATACAAAGCACTCAGGAACAGAGATTTCACGGTTGCAGCCACGACCATTATCTCTCTCATGATCAAATTGATGATTGTCTTTTCCACTGGTCTTATCACGCTGTCATTGACACGGGTTCATAGAGACTCGGTGGCAATGATACTGCAGGACCGTTTCACCAACGACAATACTGCTCTAGCTGCTGCCGACACCTTGCCCTACTTCATCCTGCAGGGATTGATTGGCAGCAATCTGACGTACCCGATGGGTATTTCCAGAGATTTCGCCTTTCAATCCGTCCAGACAGGGCTCCCGAGCACGGCACAGAGCCAGGTCAGTGTCGATGGGCTGACCAACTCCCTCGTGTGCGAGGCCATCGACCTGAACATGACTGGATCCGCTCCTCCAGACCCCCATTACTCGGAAAACACTATGAATCTCACCATCACGGCCCGTGACTGCGAGATGAAGCTGCGTTTGATGGCACCCGACTTTACTGTTGACAACGAGAATGGAACGACCTTGTTCAGTCGTTTCGCCCAGGGTCAGTGCAATGGCACGTCCGATGAATCCGGGAGACGCGTGCTCGTCATGTTCGGTAATTTGGGGTACTATACGGACACCTCACAGAACGTTACAGACTACACGGGCCAATATACTTTCAATCCGATCAGGGGGATATTGCACAAGTCCGCTCAGCTGCTTTGCACTCCGAGCTACACTATCACGACAGTCAATCTGATCCAAAACGGCACGAACGTCCAGAACGTGACCCTCGCTCCTGAGGCTTCCAATCACACGCTCGACACTGTTACTGCATGGAATATTATGGATGCGCATTTCGCCGCGTACAATAACATGATTACAAATATCGGCGGGTACTGGACGGACACAACGATCTATGTCGATGGACAAGAACATACTCTTGTGGACGTAGATCAGTACTCATCACTTATGTTACAACTCGAAGTCGCGTCGGATATGAATTCCTCTACCCTTTTCAATGAGACCATTTTGCAACAAGTTGCAACAGCCTACTACCGACAATTCGGCGCTATCGTCGCCAAGCAATTTTTGTTCGAAACTGCCCATATTCCTACTACTGGCAAGGCCATATTAATGGAGAACCGGCTAGTCGTACGCCTGTGGTCCGGGCAATCTATGGCAGCTATTGGGGGAGGGTGTTGCATCTTGGCGTTGGTGTGCATCCTCACGATTGAAAAGCAAGGAGTTGTTCCTCGAGACCCGAGCACGCTATATGGAATTGCGGCAATTATATCGCACAGCTCTGGGGTTTTGAGCAAGCTTAGGGACTTGGGGGACGGGGATGAAGAGACATTCAAGACAAGTCTGGAAGCTTCATCCTTCCGATCCGAAGTTACCTGGGCACCTTCATCTGGACTGAAAATCTTCAGAATCCGACATGCCTCAACGATTAATACCACTAATAGAAGCTACCAACGCAGAACAGTCCATGCTCACCCCGTGGTTCTGAATCCTGCAGTCCGTGTTATTCTCGGTCTGATCTTGGTTGCGTTGATTGTCGCACTCGAACTGACTTTGCGAAAGTCGAACCGGGATGACGGCTTGGGGGATATTGCCAACGACACATATATTCATTACTTGTGGACTTCTCTTCCCAGCGTCGTGTTCGGAGGTATTGCAATGCTTTTTTCCGCCATTGACTTCAAGACAAGGTCGCTGATCCCTTACCTCCTCCTTGACAAAGTCGTCAGAACCAAAACTTTTATGTCGTTTCATCTTCTGGATGCGTCAGTACCCTACGCTATCTGGAAAGAAATTGGCCTGAGAAATGTTGGTGCTGTTGCAACTACGACGACGTTGCTAGTTGCGTCTTTTTTCACAATCTTCTCTGGGTCACTGTTCAGAGAAGCAACGTTCCCAACTAGCCGCACACTGACCTTGCGCGCCGACGATTCTTTTCCGGTGGACACATACGTTAGTGACGCAGCCTCGCTCGGGGACGTCGCGGCATCTTTGATCCTCGAAAGCAATTTGACTTTTCCGAATTTCACGTACGAAAATCTCGTCTTCCCACAATTTCTGCTCAACACATCGTGGCTTCCTGAGCAAGAAGAAATTACAGACTTTTCCGGCCTCGCTATCAAGTCAATTGTTCCCTCCTTGCGTGGCAGCCTCCAGTGTCAGGTATACGACTCATCCAGCATTCATACCAACCTGACACTAAACTACACTAGTAGCGATACGATCCACAACCCTCTATGGATCGACATTGATGGGGAGGACTGCGGATCGGATGCGGTAAAGTCCAACCCTGCGGAATTCAAAGATACACAGTACTGGTACGCACTCGGCTTCAGCGTGGAGACCAACATGTCATATTTTGGCCAGGGAGGTGTGAGGGACGACGACAGCAACGGCTGTAGCGATATCTTGTTCGCCTGGGGCCATCTGGACTTTGGGGATGTCGATGACCCGATTCAGCATATCGCTGCCATGGGCTGCAATAACAGTTTCGAGACCGTGGAGGTTGAAACCACTTTTATCGGCACCAACCTCGCTATCGATCCCGCACAGCCGCCCCGGCCGCTCGAGTACACGGCACATAATACGACCAGTTGGAACACATTGACGCTCATGTACAGCTATCTAGCCGAAGTACACACAAACGAGCTCCTTAATAGCTTCTTCTCTTTGCTGACCACCTCCCGGTGGGCAGTCCCTGTTTCCATGTTCGACGGTGCTAAAGATGATGCGGACACCGAGGTGGCAGCAGCAATTCAGTTCCAGCACAATATTATCATGGCCCAAGTCCTGAGCAACACACGCGTGCCTGCTAATACAACCAATGCAACTCTGGCGTACCCACCCCCAGCGGACCTCACCGACGGCAACGACGCTATTCCGCTTTACACGGCCGTGGCCACGGACACTACAGGCCGTCGGCGGGTTGCGCAGGACACTGCGTCCACACGTATTCTCGAAGTCCTGCTCGCTATTACACTGGTGCTCCTGCTTGTTGGATGGGCGGACGTGCGGCACACAAACGTCCTTGCAGCAAGTCCGACTACAATCGCCAGTGTGGTGGCTCTGCTGGCCGGTGGGAACGTGGTGCAGCAGATGCCGGCGGATGCAGAATGGTCTGCTCATGAGAACATCCAGAGAGTGCTCGGGCCGGAGACGAACTTCTGGCTGGGGTGGGGCAATGCGCCGGATGATGAAGGGTTAGGAATGAGCAATGAGAATCACAATCGTGTGCGTCGATTCGGTATATTTGCTGCCCGGAATGCGGAGGAGATCGAAATGAAGCTACACAAGCCTGGTACCGACAGTGGTGCCTCTTCACTACTGCTTCGCGAGAACGTGGTGTAACTCTACTCTGGAAAAGAAAATCTGTATTTACATGCTGTCTGTTTGTGTATTTCTTTCGTTTCCTTGAGGATTCAGGGTCTCACTTATCAGGATGAAGACTGCTTAAATAGAGAAGATGTGTGAAGCCTAGTCAGTCACCAGCTCTTACATCATCAGACACTCTTTGCCTGGATAGCCGCATTTAGCTGGCTATTCTTTTCTTTTCCTTTCTTTTATTAGCACACGAATCCGCCCATTTCCACAAGTCATGACACCGCTTGCGTTTCTTTTTAATACAATTGATAAAAGGCTTCGCTGGTCAACCATGCTCCACTGGCTCAACATCAGTACATGTCTCCTCACGCGCTAGTGACAACTATCAAAACGGAAAACAATTCAAAGGCAATATGAAAGACTCATTTTCCAATTCTCCGTATAGTATTGACACAATAACCTCAACTATATTACAGCTTCAGATAGTAGAGTAATAGGTTCTTAGTGATTCATAATATCCCGGACTATTTAGATAATTCTTGTATTTACAACACCTGAAATTGATAAACGGCCCCAATTACATCAAGAACACTGAGTAGAGCAACCGATGTTTGAGGCGGGACAAGCCTTTTCAGTACGAACGGACCGGCATTTGCAGCCCGAGAAAGTGGAAGACACACGTGTTTCTAATAATTACTTCGCAATCGATCTCATCAAGAGTATATTACATACAATCGATGAGGAGAGAACACGAGGAAACGTCCACATGCAGCTGTGTGAATTGTGAACACAGCGGACCAGCTGTTCTACGCAAAGCTCAGGTTTTAAACTTTCTAAATATGTTCACCTGTGGATATATTGTCTGTTCCTACTTGCATAATAGAAATCTTTGCAAGGATAAATGATCTGCTACGTTGCATCCCTTGCTGTCATGGTCTTTATGTTTTCATATTTTAGCACGCATCATCGTTGCTCGCGAATATGTATTGATAGCTCTTGGAGGCGGCAAAAATCCATAAGTGTCAGCTGCTTCTTCTGATGCCGCTTCATGAGATTTCAGTGAAGGATCCCGCTGCTGCCGAGATCGCGGGCTGGGGGCTCTCGGACTCGCTAGTCGACAACTCTACTTGATTTGTTGAGCAATGAGAGGTGGATGAACACAACGCTATAGACGAATGAATCACGACCAAATGAGATGCGGTATAGCCAGTATGAGGGTACAAGGAAAAGTGAGCGGCTGACATGGACTTGTTAAGCGGCAAGGGAAGACAGTCGCTGTTACTTCCAGTGAAGGGCAGATACTACTCCATCGCCGCTGAGAAAATCAAGTCAGCAGTCTCATCAGGCCGTGAGATTCATAATACGTCTCGTTAATTGCCGAACGTGCCATAGCATTGCGATGACATAAGGGACTTGACCCAACGTTCACTGGTAGCGTCATTTTTCTCCGCATATTCGCTTGACTAAGAAAGAAACTGCCGGGACTAAAATCCCTACAAATCATAATTTTGCTGCAGGAGCTCGCTTTTACATGTACCGAGAATTTCTTTCGGTTATATCTGGCATCTTATGCTTGAATTGACATGGTCAATCCTCTTTGGCTCGGACGGACAGCTTCCGGCGGACCTGTGCAAGGATGATCTCCGGTATCCCGTACAAGAAACTTTCCCAGACTTTCGGAAAACCAGCTGCAGAAAACAGCTAGATCTACCCCATAAAAGCGACTGTGTGTTGCATCGAGGAACGGCCTCGTGCCAGCAACCAGCAAGGCTTTACCCCAAACAAGATACTGGGTAATTGCTAAGTTAATTAATGCTATCCCTCCGGGATTTCTTGATTCATATACCAATGCTAGGGACGGTTTCAATCTTAAGAGTGCTAAAGCGTATTGTCAAGCTAACTCTTGATTTGAATCGAAACTTCTTTTCTCTGCAAAAGAGAGAAAAAAGAGCAAGAAAATGTCGAACCTTTGCCTCGCCCTTGGGGCTCTGATGGCCATATTCAATGTTGTCGTCCTAGCTGCAACCACCTATATTGTCCCTGGAGCTGTTTGGTACGATACGGATGGTAATAAGATTGATGCTCACGGTGGCATGATTACAGATCGGGATGGCACTTTCTATTGGACTGGCCACGCTGCTGAGAGTAAGTCGATGTCTTCCTATACAGAATATGATGTTTCACTTACGCTTATTATACATAGCCGTAACCCCATACATGTATTCATCCACTGATCTCCTGAACTGGGATTTTGTCGGCAGTGTGGCACCGAGTGTCACAGGGCTCTGGCGGCCAAAATTTGCCAAGCCAAATGGCGAGTACTGGGTAAGTCAAACCCACAATCAGAAAAGGTGTGGATCCTTGAACAACCTTGAAATTTACTTATAATCTGCTTCATAGATATATGGACAGCAGAATGATGAGGCTACTGGTCTTCGCTCCACATCTCTGACTAGTGGATATACTCTGTATGAACAGGGATATCTACTGCCCGACGAGCGGACGGCCGGTGATACAGGGCTTTTCTTAGACCCTCCCACAGGTAAATGCTAACTTCACTCTGAAATGCATTCATCTCTAATATCTAGCAGATACATACTATTACCTCAGCTCGGCGGGCAGTAACAATCTGCAGGCTAACGAGATCTTATCGACTGGAGCAATTGGGGACAGAATCACAGATCTTGGTAAGGTGCAATTGAGCTCAGTCCAGACGCTAATAAGACTGCCCCTTTCCCCTGGAGCCGAGAAGAAGAAAATACACAGAGGCTGATTCCAGAACAGAGGGTGCTTATGAGGCGCCCGGCATGCTATACGTGGATGGCACATACTTCCTTGTTATGTCGTCCAAGACCGGCTGGACAGCTAATCCCAATCTGGTGTGGTCCTCAACGTCAATTGCAGGTCCTTGGTCTGGCCCAACAGACCTTGCACCGGACAGCGATGACACTTATGGCTCTCAGAATTCATTTGAGCTTACTATTACCGGCAGTGAGACGACCACATACATCTACATGGGTGACGTCTGGGACTCCACCGGTAGTGCAGCTTCAAACTATATGTGGCTACCTATGACACCTGATACAAGGTAACTGAGACCTATGATATTTGTCGCTTTCTCAAAGGAGACTATACCGTACCCTATCTGGTAGAGAAGACCAAAGAGAAAGATAAGGAAGAAGGAAAAACCGCTGACAGCTTGAGTACATCAGCGCTGGCACTTTGACCCTGGACTACTATTCCATGTGGACGATCGACACCAGCACTGGAGTCGTGTCAACCCCTTCCACGAAGAAGCGGTATGAAGCCGAGGATGCAGAGGTATCAGGCGCTGCAGGTGAGTACACACCTTTCTCGATTATGCATATGCTTATTAACAGTGTGCAATCAAGCAGTGCAAAACTGCGAGATATGTCTGAGCAAACGTCATGTCTATCAAAGTAAGCTTTCCGATATTTCCTACAAGGGTTTGATAACTGATATATTTTGCCTGTTTCAGTCAAAGAGCAGAATGAAGTGATATTCCGCAATGTCACTGGAACAGGCGACAAGGAATGGGTTACACTCCACTACACTGTCAACGATCACACTGGTACGTGTTCTCTCCTGCTTGTCGTCGAGATAACCGTGCTAACAAGGCTGTCTGTCCTTGAGCTGGCGACGCGTACATCGTTGTCAATGATGAAAGCATGCCTACGAATATTTCCGAGCTTAACATGAGAGCGGGCCGTCACAACGCCGTCCCCGTTTCGATGAAGCTGGATATGGGCGGCACTAATACCATCAGATTTGGCTCCGTGGGTTCACCGGGCTTCGAGGCAACTCTGGACGCAATTGAATTCCACAATTAGTTTGCAGGTCACAGCAGAGTTTGGGCTGTCATGCTGGTTTTCTCCGAGAGATCTTTCTAAGTACATATTATTTTGTTGAACGAAGTTGTAATACGATTTGCTTCTTCGTGAAAGTTTATCTTTTCTAGAGCCGCAGTCAAGATCCAAATTTATATACTTTTGATTATTTGTCTCGCCCTCCTCAGTACAATTCCTCGATGAGGTGAGGTAAGTAGCTTGTGCTTTTTTTAAATATGCGATCTAATGTGCAGATCGTGGAAAGGAGAGTAATAGATTCAAGAAAGCCAGATCTTAGATCCCACACTCAACAAACAGCGCTTATATAACAAAAAGTTAGAGTTACAAGCTCAGATATTTGCTAGATATTGAAATAACTTGGATACACGGCTATCCCATATGTATATGAAAAGCCTTAATATATATTAAACCAGAACTAGAGCAATCTCGCTCTGAACGAAATAACAAATATCCCAGCAGCAGGCAAGGGCTCATATAACCCAAGGTTACTGGAAGAAAAAAGAACAACAAGCAGAAGCCACATACGCAGAAGCACAGAGTGGAAAATGTGTCTTGGATCTATTCAAAGAGTTCAAAATCGATAAGATAACAGATGGTACATGATTGTAATCCTCTTATTAATGAAAATTAAAGTAGATAGTATCCTTATATGTATGGGAACTTATGAATTGCTCAACTTAAAAGCCTCCAGAACTATCATCCTAGCTATGACCATATCAAATAGTTTGAAATTGTAGCCAGTTAAGTAATATAATTCACTAGTTAATTTGTGATCTATGTGATATTCAACAGTGTAGGCGTATTTTAAAAGCGGTAATCATGCTACTCACTTATACCTTCATACACTCTAGGACTCCCATCCCGCTGGTCTTCCCAGGAACAACGCGCGTGATACGCAGCCCGGCATCAGCAGTCAAGCGCTCAAACATCTCAATGGTGCGCTCCTTTCCTGCAGTGATAAACATAAACAAGTCCACGGCGGCCGCAAGTGGCGTCGGCGGGTTAGTCATGGCCAACTCGACGATCAACAGTCGGCTATCAGGCGCCATGGCCTTGGCGATCAGCCGCAGCATGTTGAGCGCGTCGGCGTCGGCGTAATCGTGCAATGTACGGCGGATTTGGTAGACAAGGGCTCCTGCAGAGGAGTGTGAATCTGGGTAGGTTTCACGTCCGTCCAAAAATCCCGGAGAACTCACCTTTCACCGGCTTCTCCTTGAAAAAGTCGATCGGCACCTTCTTCAACGCCTTGTGCCAGACGGCGTTCAGATCAGTGATGGACGGCATTTCAGGCCGATGCAGAAAGGCTGAGCTCGAGTCCATGTCCTGAACGCACGGCCGCTGATCGATGCCGGAAGCACGGTTGACCTGCAGCAACTTCTTGAGCCTGACTAAGGACGCCGAAGTGTTAGTCACTCCCAGCTGACAGTCATTTTCTTTTTTCTTTCTTTTTTTTTTTTCTTTCCCACCCAGCATTCATGTGTGTGGTGGCAAGTGTGTCTTACCCAGGTCTTTCGACGTCGTAGAAGCGCGTGGCCAACTCCTCAAGACGTTCAGGCCCACAAAGGTAAGCTAGATACTGGTGACCCAACCCCGTGATCCAGAGTCCAGATTGCCCACACGGCTCGTGGCTGCCGTTGCCGTTGCCGTTGCCGTTCATGATTGCCATGTGCGTTGCAGGCCCTTGTGTTTGTTCGCGTACCCGGCCTTTTCTCGACAAGACTGACTGACTGGCTTTCTACATGAGGTCGTTTCTCGACTCCACACAAATAACTGCAACAAAGGTAAGATTTGGCATTTCGTTCCCTCCTTTCGACGGCGCCTCCTTTCCCGGTAGACCGATATGCGCTCGGTTGTCGGCGCAGGTCAGATGTCCCGGACCCCCGATCCTTCTCGATAATCCGACTTCTCACCCCGACGAATCCTGTCCCTGCGCAGATTGGCCCCCACGTCGATCAACGGCCGAGAGCACAGCGGCGCCGGATTCCCGGACGAGTACAATGGTACCGGGTTGGCGGCAATCTTAGGTAACCCAACCAATTCCCGTAGCGAATCCCACAACTTGTTGATCCAGGATGAGGCTTTCAGCTTGAGAGAGAGCCTTGCTTTCTTTCAGCTTGACTAGGTCCGCTATAACAAGCGTCACGCCTCACAGAGGGCTCGCAGAGGGACGCACAAATATAATCATTATGGACTAGGTCCATCATCATTGTTCTTTTTTTTTGTTTTTGTTTTTGCCGGTATACTTTTGATGAACGCCATGGGATTTTCAAGTGAGCCAAACGGACACTCACCTGCCACGTCCGGGTCCACCGCGAACGGCCAATGGGAGTACACGAACGGTAACGGTCATGCGTCCGCCACCGCCGCCATCAATGGTCAGGGCAGAAGAGCTCCCGAGCCTCTGGTTGAGCCCATCGCCCTTTGCGGCATGGGACTGCGACTGCCGGGCGCAGTCAACGATGCCCAAGCCTTCTGGGACCTATTACTCCAAAACAAGCGGAATGGGCGATGCAAGGTACCAAAGACGCGTTACGACGTCGACAACTGGTATGGCCCTGAAAATCCGGCCACGTCAGCTCCAAGTTTGGCTACTTCCTCGACCATGTCGACCTCGCCAACATGGATACGTCTTTTTGGTCGGCGACAAAAAAGAGTGCGCTTCCTTGGACCCTCAGCAACGACTCCTGCTCGAGGTCGTGTACGAGGCGTTGCAGACAGCCGGGCAAAGGTTGACAGACCTACGTGGCCGCAAGGTCGGCATCTTTGTCGGCAGTTTCGAGGGGACTGGTTGGAGCTGGACCAGCGCGATGTCGAAAATTTCAATGGCCATCGGCAGTCCGGCTCAGGTGACTACATGGCGGCAAACCGCATACACTATGAATTCGGCTTCATGGGTCCCAGGTATGATGATGACTGCTGACTTTTCCAGATTTTTCGTTTTCACACACAAAAACAAAAAACAAAAAAAAACAAAAAAAAACCCGGCGGTGGTGGTGGTGGCGTCAAGCATCGCAGAGGGTGACGCACAGATCCAATCATTATGTGACTGCGGCCGACGTGTTTTCCAGAAGGCGGAAGTGTGTCTATCAGTCGCTAAACCCGAAGGACTGACCAATTTTTCTATACACAGCGCCGTCATCCTCAGTGCGTGTTCCAGCTCCATGATCGCTCTTCACGATGCATGCACTGCCATCAATGCCGGAGAGTGCGAAGCCGCCATTGTCGGATGTTGCAATCTCATCCTTTCGCCGCGCATGACAGCCACAATGCAGGAGCTGGGTGTTTCGTCGCCGAGCGGCTACTGCCACACCTTTGACGCCGCCGCCGACGGATATGCCCGGGGCGAGGCCGTGTCGGCTGTCTATCTGAAGAAACTGAGCGATGCCATCCACGACGGCGACCCAGTCCGGTCTGTGGTTCGGTCTACCTGCCTCAACGCCGGGGGAAGGTCCTCGACGTTGTCGGCGCCCGTTGCTGCCGCTCATAAGTCCCAGATTCGCCGCTGTCATGAGCTGGCTGGCATAAGCGACTTTTCGAGGACGGCCATGATGGAGTGTCACGGAACAGGCACCCCTGTCGGCGATCCTATTGAGGTTCAGGCCGTTGCAAACGTCTTTGGCGAGCATGGAATCTATGTAGGATCGGTGAGTTCCCCGGGCCCCTTTTTTTCTTCTTCTCTCTTCAAGCTGTGCTCGCCGAGTACTGATATAATCCATTGTAGGTCAAGACCAACCTCGGACATGGCGAAGGCGCCTCGGGGCTGTCCAGCCTTGTGAAAATGACGCTTGCCCTCGAGAAGAAGACGATCCCGGCCAACCTCAACTTCAACACCCCAAATCCTAATAGTATGTTCTGAATGAATTAGAAATTCTGCGTGGGGCTAAAGCAATGACTAATGTTTTGAGAAAGTACCATTCGAGTCGTGTAAGCTCAAGGTGCCAACTGAGACTACGCCGTGGCCCAAAGACCGGGACTTTGTTGTTGGCATAAACAGCTTTGGTGTCGGTGGATCCAATGCCCATGCACTCCTTGGGTCGGCGGCCTCTTTTGGAACTGGTCTGGCCGAGGAATCCGCGTTCGAGAAGACCACGGTCTCTTCGAAGCCCACACTGCTCCTGTTCTCGGCAAAGCACCCTAGCCCTAGCCGCCTCTCATGTCAGTCAGGAGAGCGACGTTTTGGACTGCGCCGAGCTGATGTTTATGCGACCCGGGCCCATTTAGCAGCAGGAGCAAAAGCGCTTTGTAAGATACTCGCAGATTGACTTTGGCCTGCGCTCCACGCTGCCCATCGCGTCACCCAACAACCGCGTCGTCTTCCGCAAGGATCCCCGCCTGCTGGTCTACCGTAACCTCGAGGCCGACGACCCATGGACAGGCGAGCGCGGACCCGGCCGACGAGGAGCTAACAAGATTCCTACAAGGTGCTGCTGTCAATACGGCCGTCTTGCGCTCGGAGGAGGCGACGGCCTTACTTGCGCGGAACGTGGGCCGCACGCTGTTTGGCTTTATGCTGAGGCCCGAGGATGTGCACGCGCCGACGGCCGATGTGGGTATTGATAGCCTGGTGAGTATTGAGCTAAGAAACTGGATTAGGAAGAGGCTCGGGGTTGACGTGAATGTGCTGGAGATTACGAGGGCAGGCAGCTTGGGAGGCTTGTTACAGACGAGGATGATCCACAGCAAGTGGAGTATTTGACGTTTCTGGGGTCAAATATCGGACCCGCACAACCCCACTTCAACTATTAAGTTTCTAGTGCCGGCTGTCTCGGGCTTTTGGGATACTCCGTTATATGGTTTTAAATTTTCCTAGCTTTGCTCTTGAGAAATTGAGTCTGCCCTACAGTTATGGAAAAATTTGGCAAGAGCTGTATAATTGTGGAGATCAGTAATAATAGTTAATCCATGAGTAGTAAATAGACTGACTTTCTTGAAGAAAAAAAATAAAAACCAGAGAGTTTGAAGAATAGTCGATGAACAATAGAAGTAACTCAAATTTATCTCCGCTTGCTAAATCTCCCTCAAATTTTAAACATTGTATTTATCTAATGTACGGATTACGCACTGTTTGTAATTAGTTCAATCCATTAGCATCCAGTCTCGTGTAAGTATCGCCAAGATTCTCAACTGAAGCAGTCGAAGAAAGCTTGAGGCTCAGAGTTTCCCCGGCGATGCTTTGCGAATTGCTACTTCCCGTTGTTGAACTCTATCTACCTAGAACAGAAAAACATTTGTATAGGGTCTCGGACCTTGGAAACATTCGCAAAGTATATTTCAAAGGTCGTTTGAGAATGACTAATCGGCTTGTATATAATGTCCGACTCTCCGATACTGTTGGTTATCAAATTATCTACTTTAGCATAAAGAGACCAAATTTCTCATTCGGCACCTATGTTCATAAAAACATTTCTACCTCGTTATCTTCTTGTTCGTGGTCAACACTCAAACGTCTTTCAACTTCTGACGGAGCAAAGGCCAAACCTAGCATCAACACCGCCTACCTTCTTTTCAACCAGGGTTGTAATCGGTTTCTACTGCAAATCCACTACGAGATGCGTACCTCAACCTTCCTATATCGAAAAGCTTTCGTTCACCAAGCCGACACATCTCCACCACGCGACCCTCAATATGAGCAGCGGATTAGAATGACCGACAGATCTCTTCATCAAACGGCCTTAAGCAGGCCAAGCTTTCAATGGTGGCTTATGGCAATTCCATCGTTTCTTACATCGGCTTACGGCATTGCATTCTTCACCGGCCTCACTCCTGGCGACCCTGAAATCAAGGCGAGAATTATAGGCTCTATTGGAGGTGTGGTTCACATTGGGGCCTCTACCGCAGCTATGGGTCTCGGTCCCTTTCAGTTTCTCCCGCACCTGCAGCGAGAGTACCGCCAGGTCCACCGATGGGTCGGCTGGATCTACGCTCTCGGCGTGGCAATCGGAGGGCTCGCCGCCTTCATTGTCACCTTTCACAGCGAGGCATTGCTCTGGGGGAAGGTAGGGTTTGCTCTTTTAGCCCTCGGGTGGCTTGAGACTCTTCGAAGAAGCCTTATAGCTATCCGGTCAAACAGAGACATAAAAGCTCATCGGGCTTGGATAACGAGAAACTTTGCCCTAACGTACGCCGCGGTAATGTTGCGTTGGCAATTGCCTCTGATGATAAATACAGGAACAGAGGTAAGGTTCGCGCTTTCAATCGAGGGATTTGCATGTTGGATACCGAATCTAGTGTTTGTTGAGCGTTTCGTGTTAAGAGACTTGAGGGGGCAAAGAGATTGAAATTGAACGGGGAGAAAAATTAATGCATCATATAACAGTAGCGTCCTCTCCTATTACAATGCTGTTATCAATAGGAACAAATGTATTCATCAAATTTATTATTGTAACTAAACCAGACGGCGAAATTGTACTTGGGGTCTATCAGATCTGCTCACAAATATATCCTGCATCTGATATTCGATAATGCGATGCCTGCTATAGCCTTTGCCACTCCCTCTCGCACCACAATATTCCTCAATAGGCGCGAGGCGCATATTATATAGCCAAACAAAGCGGGTAATAGTAACCAAAAGCTCCTTCATCGCCATAGATTTGCCAGCACAACCGCGAAGTCCGATACTGAATGTGCAGAAAGCAGCTTATACAAGTATGGGAATGATTGTATGGACTGCGCTAGAGAGGAAGGAAAAGGAAAGGAAAAGGAAGAAGAAACAGTTGCCTAACTGAGGCATAGACAGAGGGTGCCTGGCGATGGTGAGGCCAGTGACTCACCTGGCCTCGCACAACAAGGCTTGTTGCCTCACCTTTCTCGTGACCAGATTTCGAGTTCGTGCTCCTGACCTCAAGGCATCGTTCTAGTCGGTAGCAGAATGAGTCAGGGCAGTACTCCTCATTATGATGAATGGAGTAGTGACACACACCGAGGTCGACGCCTTCAGGAAACACATGTCCGGCAATCTCCACGTCGCCGGCGAGTGCGTGCCGCAGCAAGAGGCCTGGTACGTCAGGAGACATGCGCATGGCTTCATCTATGCACACACGGAGCCACCGACAAGAGATCAAGGTTGCGCATCCAACGATCTCATCAACACTCTTCAAACAGGGCCGAACTTCGTCTTTGATCCTCTGATAAGCATGTAGGTTGTGCAGGAGATAGAAGAAGGTAGCTGAGATGGCCGTAGCTATTGTATCCAAGCTTTTATCAAACATGACGATGCTATTAGCATCTTTCAACCCAACACCCCTTCCGTGCATACATTCCCTCCACTTACTGCCGGTGATAAGCAGACTGGATTCCCTGACCAAGTCATGATCGCTAAACAACGGCCTGTCCTTTGACGGCTGGTTTGAGCAGATGAGAGTAGACGTCGGGTATTGTTGCATGGGGTTCCATCGCTAGACGTTTGCGAGATCACTCGTTCGCAAATGCTTCGTATCGCTTCATGTCTTCATTAAGCTTGGAAAAGAGAATCTTGCCAAGTTTCAGACGCAGGACACCTGGCATCCATCCGCTCTAATACAATCAATCTGTTAGATATAACACCCCCTACCCTGTTTTAACTGGCGATCACTCGGGATTGTACACACTCACCATGCTCAGTGCATTTACGCCTAATGGTAAAACCTTCAAGATGTATCTGTTGTCCGGCTTGTCCAACATATCGAAGGAGTTGGAGAAACAGATATCGCTCAAACGAGAGCTGATCGGCTGTTTCAGTCATATTATGGGGCACGCTCCAAGCTTCTGTGGTATCCGGCTGGGCTGAGGACACGTTTGGATCTCCAGCAGTACCTGGCTTGTCTGTGGACTTTATGATATTCCTCAGAACTATGTCTTCCATCGCTCTCACAGAGCTATCGGACAGTGCGGATGACATAACTCGTTTCTTCTTCAGATGCAGGCTGTGGTCAATCGACGTAAGCGAGCTGTCACCTTTGAACAGATCGTTGACACATTGTAGTACCATGACTTCTGTGTGTTATCCTTTGCTCCGTATATCTTCTGCAGTCCCTCGGTCGTGTTGACGGAGATTCTATTTAGAGCGAACCGTACAAAGGGGCCTAGATCAAATTTAAAGAAAGGCTTTTTTTTAGACGTAATGCGTAGATTGAAATGCGGACCATATTTATTATGTAGTTCCAGGAAATGAATATGGCGATCTCCAGAAGCGCTGCGAATGGCAAAGTACTAGTCCGTGAGCCAGCCGAGGAAAGGTCCAGGATATCGTGCGAGAGGATGGAATTACAATCGATGAATTATGACAGAGAGGGCTAGTGAGTCTTCTCAAGATTTGCTAGTTATCATACATAGGCTAGATAGGCCACAAGTGCTGCTGCTCCAAGTGTGAGCCACATGTTGTCAGTGAAGAAGACGACTCGCTCCATGCTACGACAGAATCAGCATAGATGAATGTGTCATAGAGGGTTGGAAAATATGTTCTCCGACAATCATGGAAAATGACCTGGTGTAAGACAAAAACAATCCGACAACAAACTGAGTCTACTCAAGGCCAAGACTGGTCCAAGTATGCAGAAATATAGCCTGGTGGGGGAGGAGGGGGAGGAGGAATAAAAGATCGGTTGCTTTCTAAGAACCGATAAAGTACTTAAAGCAGCAACATCCTCCTGCCTGAGTCGCTCATTGATTGCTCGATATCGACATGCTAGTAGATAGCTGCTATACGGACAGAACGGCACATGAGGATTGCGTGCATCGGAGCAGGTGCATCAGGTCTCTGCTTCGCGTACAAGCCTCGGCGCTCCTTTGGGGATTTCTCCCTAACCATCTTTGAGAAGAGCTCGTAAGTCGGTGGTGTGTGGGTCCCCAGAGTACGTTGCATTTACTGTTACACAGCATCACGTGAATCCTGTGCAAAGGACTAATTTGAACATCTTCAGCCGTGCTTGCAATCACGACGCACATGACTATATCTATTCTTAGGAACCCAAGACCGACTGGGGCAGTGTATATGCTAGTGCTGCAGAAGTCCAGGGATCAGGTCATTGCAACCCAACAAGGCGGTTCAAAAGTCTGAGTTCGATTTAATTGCCACAGTATCTGATGTGCGTGGTGGCATAGGAGGAATGCGACTAGCAGCTGCTTTGATGTCTTTGGGCAAGATAGAGGCTGTGTGAGGGCAAAAAGATTGCATTGCTGAGCGCTGAAGAAGAAAAAGAAAAGAAGAGAAAACGCTACGAGGCCAGCTATCTGAGGCTATCAATAGGTCTGGCTGTTGGCTGGCTGGAGGGGCTGTGCACGGCCCTGGGCCAGTGACTCACTGGCCCTCGCACAGAGGCTGATTTGCCCCGATTTGAATATCATGCAAGGATCATAATTGGTGATGTGAAGGTGTATCCATATGCAATTGGTGAGCTGCATAATTGCATCAAGGGAATTTTTCAAGATACAGTAGAAGTGTTGGTTAATTAAGAAAGCTGCTGAACAAAGAGAAACATAAAGCTATAGCTCTCTGGATTTTATTCCTAAGCAACTTGATTACAAGCGCCTACCAAAACCAGTATAAAGAGCTTATATATTACTCTATAGAAAGGTAATTCCAATACCACTTTGCAAACTAATGCACAATATATAATGTGTGAGTCCGACCGTTACGCAGCTATATAGGCCACAGCCGTTTCCAGTCAGCTGGTAGTGGTCACTCCTTTTAGCTGTCACATATATAATATATTCGAAAAATCAGTGCATCAATAAATGTGCGAGGCCAGGTGAGTCACTGGCCCCACTATCGCCAGCCAACCTCTGTCTATAGCCTCAGATAGCCAGCTGTTTTTTCCTTTCTTTTCCTTCTTTTTCCTTCCCTAAGCGCAATCCAATACAGTTCATTTCCCATAATAAACTCATTGTTACTTGTAGATCTAGGATAATGAAAGCATAGCTTAGCATTAGTCAAAAACAGCATTTCAAAGCCTAATTTGAAGCATATCATGATTAACCTAGGTCACGAGATAGGTCATGGAATAGGTTGTATATTATAGAAACCCAGAAATTAGATTCAATATTCGAATACAAGATGATTATATAGTTAATAGTTACTATTGATTTGGGTTTGGACTGAAAGGACTGCCATTAGTTAAGGGATGTTCACGGTTCAGAATAATTCTTAATTAGTTATAACTAATTTCTATTTATTAGCTTTCTTTCAAATCAACTTCAATGCTTTCAAGATTTCATGTCCATATTATGTGAACTAAAATGGGCCTTTGATATCCAGAAGCTGCTGAAATGTCTCCTGAATAGTAGTCTCGAACGATGTCCATCGTATGCCTAGATCCTTCTCCGCTCTATGCGATTGCTGCTTATCAGCCTAGCAATGCGATGACTAGCTAATGTAGGAAAAAATAAATGCGGCGGGCGGCGGAGGGGGAAACGGGAAGGGGGAACTTACCGCGCCGAGGAGTAGCCGTAGTGGTTCACTTGATCTCCGGCCGAAGGCAAGCGATGAGCCTGCTCAGGAAATAAGCGAGCTATCGTTTGTGCCGCGCTGGGCTGGCTGAAAGGACTTCCGACAGTCAGATAACGCTGCCCGCGAGAAACATCGGTTTCGGCAGCCTTGACGTGGCAAAGGGCACAGTCTTTGACGTCGACGCAGACCTGCAAAGGGGAAAGAAGAAGATGAGTTTGATGTTGACCACGTATACCCGATTAGCTCTTGAGCTCTTGTAGGTAGAAGACTGACATATGCGGGTGTCCTTGGCATTTCGTGCGCATCAATGAGTCGGTCGAGAACGCGGCCTACCCCATTCACACAAATGCGTATCAGCTGATCTGCTTCTATCGTATCATTTTTCTCTTTCTTTCTTTCTCTCCCTCTCTCTCCCTTCGGTAAAAACCGCTAGCGAAGATCTGGAAGTCTGTAAGTACTGGATTGGTTGATATCAGCCATCGAAGTGAATGGCTGAAGAGGCTTCCCCAGAATAACAGGCGCAACAATGCTGTAACAACCCAAGGAGAGCTAATACATTAGCCGGTTATACATCCGAGATGGAGGGCTGGGGAGTAGATGCGCTTATGGAAAGCGAGGTGGAAGAATAGTAAGGCAACTCGCCTGGTGATTGAAAAATGCGGGGTTCGCGTCCTTGCGAAGTCCCAGACGGCCTGCTCAGCAAACCTGTCACCCAGAGTTAGTATATAGGTCGAGCCCAGCGTTAGTCAAGTCAGTTTGGATGGATGCATAGGTCTCACGTCTTGCTTGCTAGGTATACAAAATGCTTGTCCGTTGATGCCACCGCCTCGTCCCATTGCACCGGGTTCCAGTCGTTTTCGGAATAGATATACTAAAATGACCACAACAGATGTCAATGAAGTCTCTGATTTCCTGACAGCACCCCAGAAGACAAGCCTTACCCCCGGTCGAGGGTCTAGATGAGGAGATGTGACAGCAGCGAATCTATTTCCTATTATCTCAGACACAGATCTTGTCTCTTTCCACGGGACTTTCCCATCCAGACTAGACGACTTACGAGCTCGTATAGATGAATTTGCGGATCGTATCTGCCTTCATCGCCGACTCCAGCACAGACAGCGCGCCTTTGCGCGCGGGTATAAGCATATCTCTTTCATTATCCTCGAATGTGAAGCTGAAAGGGCTAGCTGTATGAAAGATAATGTCGGCGCCCTGGACGGCGTCGTCGTATGCACCATCCTCCTGCATGTCCCGGACCACCACAAAATGGATCTGGCCCTGTTCCAGATGCTGGGGATAGAGGCTACACCAGGCGTCGGCTTTGGCCTGGGACCGGACTGCTGCCACCACGTGGTAGCCCCTTTCGAGCAGCAGGAGAATGATCTGGGTCGCCAGGAACCCGGAGGCGCCTGTGATGAATGCTCTTGGGATGTGCGTGCTCTGAGCCATGATTGAAGCGAAGCATCCCAAGCCTTTGAGCGATCAGGTTGTGGCAGAGAAAGCCCCCCCTACGGAGCGCTGCATCTGATGGCTTTCTCTTTCTCTTCATGGGGAAGTGGGCCAGATCCCCTCCTCTCAGTCGGCAGATCTCGGCTTCAAGCATTACGACAGTCACCCATGTCCTTCGATAAGCCCTTCGTGTGGCAGTGCCTACGTATGGTTGAATCCAAGACCCACAGCAGCATCCTTGCAACTGCGCCGACTTGGTGTCCCTACGGGTCAAATGAGTTTTTCCGAAGCGCAGCGCCCGGCAGCTCAAGCATTTTTGTTACTGTGTAACGACCCGTGAGCGCTAGCCCTAGCCTCTATTCTTGTCTGATTTGGTTCAAATTGCTGATACAAACCGGCAGATATAGCTGATACTTTCGAATTATATTATTTCAGCTCAAGCTGAGCTGCTAATTAGGTAATATTTTCTTAGAATAAGCTAGATGTAATGAGCACTGTGTTATAACTCATTCAACATACAGGTTACGAATAAGAACACTCGGAACAACTATCCGAAAAACAAGGAAAAGAACCGAAAGGCTTACATAAGCTAGGGTTAGGGTTACAATGTAGAAAGAATCGTTGGGATCGGTAGCGATCCAAGTACCCGTGGTCCCTAGCCTAGCCACCTGGCCCACTACCTCCGTTCCTCCCGTAGTGGGTGGTTGCCGGCCAAAAAGGTTTCTAATTTGGAGGAATTTTTTTACTATGGGAATGCCACCAAAATCCGGTGCTTAAGCCATGACTGATAGTTGAATTGAACACTTGCAACACCACGATGTCCGATGGCCTTGCTTGTCGAGAATGCGCCTTCATCACTAGGCAGGCTCATAAGATGCGAGACCACTACCGCCTCTCGCACAGGTGGCCGCCCGTTTGCTCAGGTGGCAGCTTATCCTAAAGTCAAAGTGTCCTCAAGGTAGAGAACAGTTTTTTTGAGTGGGAAATTTTTTAGCGCTAGCAAAAGCAGGGGTAAGAGGATTGTTTTTTTCTTTTGTAAACTATTCTCAACTCAATTTTTAAGCTTTCTATTTCATTTCAATTTGAAGTCTGATCGCCTTCCTATCCTAAAGTCAAAATATTCTCAAGATAGAGGATAGTTTTTTTGGGTGGGAGAATTTTCAGCGCTAGCAAATGCAGGGGGTAGCAGATCGTTTTCTTTTCTGCAAACTGTTCTCAACTCAAATTTTAAGCTTTTCGATTCTTTTCAATTTGAAGTCTGATCGCCTTTCTTACAACTCTATTGTAATAAAGCGCACTGCAATATCCGAAGATCTGAAGTATACAAAGAGTTTATGCTAACAAGAGCAGTATCAAAGTAGAATCTACTGAATACGGAAATATAACTAAGTGTTATGACCCATCTAGCATGCAGGTCACAAAGCAGGCTCCGCTAAACAAGGAACAGGAATCGGGATCCAACAGCGAACAACCATTGAGCTTAGATAAGCAAGGGTTAGAATTGAATCATGATGGAAAGAGTAAGCTACTTACTGGATCATAGTGAGCTGCTCACTGGATTACCGAGCTGTTATGACTCATCCAGCATGCAGGTCATAGGACAGGCCCCGGCAACAAGGGACCAGGTGCCATGATGCAACAACGGGCACGAATAAGATTACATAATCCAGGGTTAGGGTTGTAATGGAGGGAGGATCTGCAAATCTGCTCCCAGAGCCTCAGATGCTCATATCATGAATCTATGAATCTGCTACCAGATCTATAGAGCTACGATAAAGAGCTGGATATATAAGAATATATTCATTACTAACTAGATAAATTACTAGGATATAGCTCTTCAGTTATTAATTTAAGTATTCATTTGTTATATACTTGAATAGCTTCAAAAGCGAATAATTAGCACTTGCACGGATTACAGTCATATTCTGTATTCAGTAAATTCTACTTTAATACTGCTCTTGTTAGCATAAACCTTTTATATACTTCAGATCTTCGAATATTGCAGTGTATTTATAATATTTTGATAACTCTTATTCAAGAATAATTCAGTATTATCTCCTTAAATAATACGAAATATGTCAGGGCTTGTGTTATGACCCATCCAACATGCAGGTCACCAGCCAGAATACCCAAAACAACTGTTCGGAAAGACAGAGAAGGATTCAACATCACAAGGACTAAGGCTCACATAAGCAAGGGTTAGGATTACAGGATCAGGATGAATCAGTAGCTGATCCATGGTAATCCGGATCAGTTGGATTATCCAGGTGATTCAAGGAATCCAACAATCAATACTACTAACAGAATTGAAGAAGCTGAATATATAAGGATATATTCATTACTATTAGATAGATTCAGTATATAGCTCCTTAGTTATTAATCTAAGTATTCAGTTTTATATACTGAGTAGCTTTAAAAGCAGTGAATACTTGCATTGCTTATTAGAATTTGTATAGTTTCGTATTTAAGAACTTAATACTTTGATACTGCTTTTGTTAGTATAAATCCCTTCATATACTTAGGAATCTTCGGATTGCTGCAGTGCTTATTACATTTTGATAACTCTTATTTAAGAACAGTTCAGTATTATCCTTTTGAGTAATACGGAATATAATAGCTTCTTTAGAAATCTCTTCGTTCTTATATATTCCTACTTAGGAAGAACTGATTAACTAGGTATATCAGCTTATTCAGCGTATTCAGGATCTGTATGAATAATAGCAAGCTCAGAGTGCTATTATTGCTAATTAATAAGCTTAGCTAGTTCAATAAGCTTAGCAGATGCAATCTATTTCTGCAATTACTAATAGTGCTGGAAAAGTATATAAGATGAATAAGTCTGCTATATATAATAGCAATCAAAAGATACTATATGAATTTCTTATTTACTGTAGAGCGTATTTCCTGCATTACAAGATTTAGTTTATTAAGAAATCTAAGAAAGTTATTCTTATAGAGATTCATTTCGAAAAGAATGCTCTTATCTAATATAAGCCTTCTCTATACAACTACTTGGAGCATTAGAATAACTCTAATATGCATATCTAGAGTATTAAAAGTATATTTAATTCTTTTGAAAGCTTTAAGAAAGCTCTTAAGGAAATCTTTAGTAATCCCAATAAAGAATATATTACAGCTTAGCAGCTTATGAATCTCAAGCAGATTAAGTTAGCTTCTGCTTATACAATTAGATTTAAGCAACTTTCAGTGCAACTTCTATAGAAAGATAAGAATCTTATTGTTATAACTCATTCAACATGCAAGTCATCAGCTAGGACACTCGGAACAACTGTTCGGAAAGACAGGAAAGGATTCAACATCACAAGGACTAAAGCTTACATAATCAAGGGTTAGGGTTGCGGAAATCTAACTAATCAGATAACAAGATGATCACTTGTGATCACCGATGCTCAGTGATCAGTAGTGATCCAGAATGATCAGTGGTGATCTGAAATGATTACCAGCAAGCAAGAACTGAAGGACCAAGTATATTGTTATGACTCATCCAACATGCAGGTTACCAGCTAGAATACTCGGAACAACTATCCGGAAAAGACAGGAAAGGATTCAACATCTCAAGAACTAAAGCTCACATAAGCAAGGATTAGAATTATAGGATTAGAATGAATCAGTAGCTGATCCATAGTAATCCGGATCAGTTGAATTACTCAGATGATCCAAGAAATCCAACAATTAATACTACCAACAGAACTGAAGAGCTGAATATATAAGAACACATTCATTTCTATTAGATAGATCTTGTATATAGCTCTTTAGTTATCAATCTAAGTATTCAGTCTTCTATACTAAGTAGCTTTAAAAGCAGTGAATACTTGCATTGCTTATTAGAACTTGTATAATTCCGTATTCAAGAATTTGATATTTTAATACTGCTCTTATTAGCATAAACTCTTTGTATACTTAGGAATCTTCAGATTGCTGCAATGCTTATTACATTTTAATAACTCTTGTTTAAGAATAGTTCAGTATTATTCTCTTAAGCAATACGGAATATGTTAGGGCTTGTATGCGCACAAAGGAAATAGGTAGCCCTTGCAACTCCTGGTAGCAATTCAGAGCTGCTGCGAGAGCTTCACTCCGAAGCAGCGCTCTCATACGATGCTGCATAGCTATCAGGCTATTATTATCCCATCTAGTCCAGGCTAATTGTGTATATAAGGGAAAGGGGAACAACAGGTTCAGCAGCGAAAAGAGAAGGAGAGAGATAGATTCAGTAATCCCTTTGAATGGAAGCATCAACAGAGCAGCTTGGGAGCAGCTCACATCCCTTCACCTCACTTGTATGCTCTTTTTACTCTGACAAGTCTGAACCTTCTATCTTTTTCCGGGAAGTGAGCTGTTGAAGATGAGAATAGCTCTGATTATACGAAGCGGCAGCGCTGCTCCAGAGCGATAATCACAACGAGCTGGCAACTCCGATCTCTTACAAACTCTAAGCTAACTTCCCTCTCAGATCTTCCTTCCAAGCTTGAACTTAGGCTCAGCTTACAAGAACTTCTCGCTCGAAGCATTAGCAGATATAGCTGAGTTGCAATGCTAGAAATGCAAGCTTAATTATTAGTTAGAAGAAGAGAAGATATAGCAGCAGCTGAGAAGCAAGCATGCTTGCTTAATATTACTTCAGAGCAGCAATACCAGTGTTGTGGTGGCTAGGGTGGTAGTTCGTGGGACGTGGAGTACAGTGGGTCAAGGGTCCTTATACATATAAAGGATACCACCCACTTTTCAAATTCTTTAGCTATAAGCAACAATGAAGCATCCTTTCTCTTCTTTTCAATTTTGAACCCTTTGGACAGGTCTAAGACAGGTTTTTCACCCTGTTCTTGTGCTCGTGTAGCCTTAGTTTGCTGTTCTCATCTGTACAGGCACGCTTGGGTTGCATGAGCCCTTGCTCATTGCTTCGGCAGCTGTTTGTTCCTTTTTCTTTCGAGGGCGACGGCGCTCTAGTTCTAGTTCAATGATGCGGTAAGTATGGATTT